TTTCAATAAAAAATTAGAAATGTTCAAATATAGTTGTTGATTTCTTAATTAGACATTGTCATAAAACAAAAATCAACTAAAAAGATAAAAAAAGAGCCTTGATGTTTTTATGTTTCTATTGACGCATCGTATCTAAAATGCAGTTTTTTTGCACGGTTTTACTCTAATTTTGCATTTTTTACATTGTTTTGGCAAAATCTTTTAAGTTCAGGAGTTTCTCAGTAAAAATACATCAAAATTGTACATAAGAAAATTTACCGAATTTGGATACTTTTTTGGAGAAAAACTATTGTAAAATAGAAAAAAAAAATATTGTCTTGCGACTAACCGTTATCGAGAAAATCGCTAGTATAAGCAAAAGTAGGCAAAATCAATAAATTGTTCATAACTTCTAAACTATCAAGAATTTTGCGGTTTTCTCAAAGTCAATTGACTCTCTGAGACATTTTACATTTGTATAGTTTAAAATATTACCATTGTCAAGCCAAAATTACCAACATTTATTATTTCTTTTTTGGTAAATATCGAGAAAATCGCGAATATAGGCAAAAATAAGAAAAATCAATAAATTGTCCATAACTTCTAAACTATCAAGACTTTTACGGTTTTCTCAACCCCAATTGGCTCTCCGAAACATTTTACATTTGTATAGTTTAAAATATTACCATTGTCAAGCCAAAATTACCAGAATAATACAACGTTTTCTCTTATATACATTCACATTTTTTCAATAAAAAATTAGAAATGTTCAAATATAGTTGTTGATTTCTTAATTAGACATTGTCATAAAACAAAAATCAACTAAAAAGATAAAAAAAGAACCTTGATGTTTATATGTTTCTATTGACGCATCGTATCTAAAATGCAGTTTTTTTGCACAGTTTTACTCTAATTTTGCATTTTTTACATTGTTTTGGCAAAATCTTTTAAGTTCAGGAGTTTCTCAGTAAAAACGTTCTAGATACATCAAAATTGTACATAAGAAAATTTACCGAATTTGGATACTTTTTTGGAGAAAAACTATTGTAAAATAGAAAATAAACGCATTCTATACAAGATTTTGTAATTTTTTGCCGTCAGTTGGAAAAATCTTTAAAATTTTGAGTTTCTTCGTGAAAAACACTCCAAATTCATTAAAATCGGCGAAAATAACGCATTATGACCTATTTTTTGTTTTATTGTAGCAATTTTATATTTTGTTTTAGTAAAATAGTTCGAATTTAGTAAATTTGTCACTAAGAAACACTTTTTTGATCAAATTTAGCAATTTTTTATTCTATTTTAGTAAAATTGTTCGAATTTTGCGTATTTCTCTGTAAAAATCGTAATAAATTTAGTTCTTGATTTCTTCTAGTTTGGCATTAATTGTCATTATAAAACAAAAATCAAACAAAACAATAAAATAGTGGTATTATTGCATTGATAAAATTTACCCAATTTTGATACTTTTTTGGTGAAAAACTCTTGTCAAGTAGAAAATAATGCAAAATCTTTAAAATTTTGAGAGTTTCTTGGTGAAAAACACTCCAAATTCATCAAAATCAGCGAAAATAATGCATTATGACCTATTTTTTGTTTTATTGTAGCAATTTTATATTTTGTTTTAGTAAAATAGTTCGAATTTAGTATATTTGTGATTGAGAAATATAATTCATAAATAATAAAACTTTTTTGTTCAAATTTAGCAATTTTTTATTCTGTTTTGCTAAAATTGTTCGAATTTTGCGTATTTCTCTGTAAAAATCGCAATGAATTTAGTTCTTGATTTCTTAATTTAATTGTCATGTAAATTTGTTATAAAATAAAAATCAAACAAACAATAAACAATCAGATTAAATTACTTTATCCGCAAATGTCACAAAAGTAACCAAAAATTTTGTTTTTCCGCCTAAGCATTTTTATTTTTACCATGACATTATTGACATTTACCAATGTTGTTTCTTTCACTGCTTAAGCAATTTCTTCAATTCATAAAAATAACACTTTTTTGATCCAATTTTTCAATTTTTTATTCTGTTTTGATATAATAGTTTTAATTTTGTTTATTTCTCGATGAAATCGAAACGCATTTTCATGTCTAACTATACAATTTTCACTCCGTTTTGACATTTTATTTCAAATTTTGTTACTTTTTAAAAAATACTTCTACATTAAAGAAAAATAGACAATTTTGATCTAATTTTGAATTTTTTACAGTGTTTTGGCAAAATCTTTTATGTTCAGGAGTTTCTCAGTAAAAACCTTCTAAATACATCAAAATTATAAACAAAAACCTTGTTTAATTTTTGCCTTGTTTCGATAAAATTTACCGAATTTTGATACTTTTTTAATGAAAAACTCTTGTCAAATAGAAAATAATGCATTCTATAATAAATTTTGTAATTTTTTGCCGTGAGTTGGCAAAATCTTTAAAATCTTGGAAGTTTCTTTTTTGGTGAAAACTCTTGTCCAATAGGAAAAACTCTTGCAAAATAGAAAATAACGCATTCTATACCAAATTTTGTATTTTTTTGCTGTGAGTTGCCAAATCTTAAAAATTTTGAGAGTTTCTTGGTGAAAAACACAAAAATAACGCATTATAACCTATTTTTTGTTTTATTGTAGCAATTTTATATTTTGTTTTAGTAAAATAGTTCGAATTCAGTAAATTTGTCACTGCGAAACACTTCTAAATTCATAAATAATAACACTTTTTTGATCAGATTTAGCAATTTTTTATTCTATTTTGGTAAAATTGTTCGAATTTTGCGTATTTCTCTGTAAAAATCGCAATGAATTTAGTTCTTGATTTCTTAATTTGATATTAATTGTCATGAAAATTTGTTATAAAATAAAAATCAAACAAAACGATAAAAAAATTATTATTGCATTGAAAACAGATAGTAAGTCCTAAAGTGTTGTTCAAGACTCAAAAGCCCCATAAAAAAATCGAAGAAGAAAAGTTTTGGGGTATATTAATTTTCTCACCAATAGAGGATAAAAAAATTACCAACTGACCATTATTATATCAAGTAAAATTTAAAAAACTAAATCAAATAATTTCTAGAATAAATAAATTGTACCTACTACTTCTGCTCGTATCTAAAAAATTAACATTATTAATATAATATAAGAGAAAGACATTTTTACGTGTTTCTGCATCGCAAATTCCTAACCCAAATTAAAAATAAAAAATTAATCGATGAATTATCCGAATATTTCATTAAGCCTTTATTATGGAACCCTAAATGAAAATTCTTTGAAAAGTTTCCCCCTTAAAAATGCAACAACGGGTTTTAAATATAGTGCCGTCTACTATATGGAAAGAGCAAAGTTGTGTTTTAACGAATTTGAATAATAAAACTTTTATAATCCAACTTAGAAGTTCGCGGTATTAGCGATAAGAAAATTTTAAATTGGAAGATCCAGTTGAGAAATAAAGGCGCAAAAATGTAATCATCTACTTTAATCACTCTGAATTTTTATTTGAAGAAAGCATAACACAATAACACGAATTTCAGCGTTAAACTTTTTCGAAAGTATCCTTTTATGGAGCTCCAACCCGAATGCAAGTGAAGTAAATCACGATTAAATGTTAGAGATCAAATACCGACCTTTCTTTAAAAAAAAACTATTTTATTATAAGAATAATTATGAAATTTAATAGAAAAAAATAAAATTTTAAATAATGAATTTTAAACAAACTTGGGATTTTTCGTGCTCGCTTGCCCCCTGGCTGTCAAATTAACATCTTACTACGAGCTAAAAAGTAGCACTGGAACCAATTTTCATTTTTACTTTAAAATAACGCTTTAGCTTACATTTTAACGTGTCGAAATGTTGAAATTAACGGCTTTAGTAATAATAAAATAAAAAAATGCATATTTACCTTAAAATGCAACTTTTTTTGCACAATGAAAATGGCCTTAAACAAAAACACCTAATCCTAAATTTTTTAGCTTTAACTTTGAATTTGACAGAACCAAAAAAACTCAGTCGGCGTATGCATACTACCAACGTAACAATGCGCAAAAAAGAGCCGTGATTTGGGCCTGTTTTTGCAATTCTAATGCTTTAATTTTATTAAAAAAAATGCAATATATTGGTAGAAAATCTATAACTAACGATTAATTTCACTTCTATTACAATATTGAAATAATTGCCATTAAAACTGGGGATTTTTTCCATGGTTTGCTCCCCTGCTTGTCAACTGTCAAGTTGACATTCCTCCTCCAAAATAAACAATTTAGCAATTTTTACGCGTTAATTATTAACTATCAATCGGAATGAATTAAGGTAATCACCCCCAACACCCCCATTATTTAACCCCATTGTTCCAGCTCTCCACAATGCCCAGGTCATTTTTACAAATCCTCCAATCGAAAAACGATGATCGTAATTTGATCTCGGCCACATTCCACATGATAACAATAACCCTAATCAGCATGAGTCTCGTCGATTTGACTTGGTTCACAATCTCAGGAGACGTCGCAGTACCTAACCTAACTCTTGGCCAGTTCTTCTGGTTCGGGTACACAAACTCAGTCAATTATTCAGGTAGTTGTCTCGGAGGGCTTACTGCGACTTAACTGTCTTTCCAGATTACGATTTCATCAACTCGACGATTGTTAATCTGATGAGAACCACGATTTTACTGTGCTTTATGGCAATCATTTTCAGTCTAGCTGGCTTTTTCCTCGACATCATGGGCCCCAAAAGCATCTTGTATAGGATGATAAGGAGATACGCCGTCGCTGGGACTTGCACAGGTAGCCCCACACATCAGACTAAATTACTTTATCCGCAAAAGTGGCCACTTTTATGACTATTTTGCACTACCAACTGCACTAGTTATTATTTTGTTCATTTACTTGCTGTTTACTGTACTTTACTCCTAATAAATGTTATTTCAGTGTTATGGATTATGGCCATTGTGAGTATCTCGTACTATATAGTATTATTATTGGAGGATTCTGTGGAAAAAACCTCACTCAAAGTGGAAACGACGGTTTCTTACGGTGACGGCTTTTACCTTCTTGCCTCCGCTGGGGGCGTCTCATTAATTGGAATTTTTTATAATTTAATAGTAGCGAATCACCCTGTAGGTTATTACAGGGAGGATGATCGATGTTTGATTGGTTATGATGACGGTTTTGATACTTTTAATAGCCCCACACCGCCCCCGCCTTACAACGTCCCCCCTCCCCCCTACACCCCTTGATATTTAATTGTCCTAATTTAGTGATTTGTGATAGACCAGAATTCTAGTCTGCTTGAATGGTACATAATCACCAAAGATGAAGCTTTATGTAAAAACTGGATATGGTTTAATTGACGTAACCATTAATATATATTTTTCTGATAATTTGAATGAAAAATAAATAAGTTAAATTGAACACAATTATTTGTACCCGTTTTTGACCAAAGTCGAGAAATCAAAGTTGGGCATTTCTAAGGGTGCTAAAGGCGGGAGCCCCACTTCGGGACTGAGCTCACTGCAGGGCGAGAAGACGTAGGGGGAGGTGCCCCCCGAGGAGTCCGTGACGACTCTGAGTGTGCTACTGGTCTTGGCCCCATCTGAAACGAGTCATGAGTTTGGGTGAAACAGGGGGGCCCCCATACCTTTGTTTTTCTCGCACTCTAGTTTGTAGATCTCGGCTTTGAGTCGTGCGATTTCGGTGTCTTTCTCCTCCAATTGCAGGACGAGAATCTGCACGAATTCGCGCAGTTTCTCGCTGAGTCCTTTGAATTCCTCCAAAAGGGTGGAGTCGTCCACTTCGCGTTTTTTCCCGGAGGCTTTCATCGTGTCGGAGACACTCGGGGGGCACTCTTCGGGGCAGTTGCGCTTCATCATCACCTCGATGAGAGAGTCGTGTGTTTCAATAGTGCGGAAGATTTCGGTTTGGAGGGATTCCCCGTTTTCGCAAATGCAGTCGAAATTCACGCGATTTCGCATCGATTCTTGATAGCGTCGCAAATCTTCGTATTGCAATTTTTTTATTTTTAACGAGTCGACTTGTTTTTGGTGGTGGTCGATTTGCAGGTGGATTGATTCGAGAGAGCGGGGGTTTTGGGTCAAGTGGAGCGCCTCGTGGAGGTGGTGCATGGCGTTGTGGTGGCTTTCGATGCTCTCGTCGAACTTTTTCTGTTTTAGTAAGGCCTCAGCGCGACGGTCCAACTGGTGGGCCTGCAATTGTAAACATAAACAAAGGCTGTGACCCAGTTTTGGGGTGTGGGACGGGGGGCAAACCTACCTTGTTCAACGGGGAATTCTCCATGGGGCGCAATAAAACCGACTTACAACTAAACTTATCACAAAAATACAAATAAAAGTAAAATGTTTGAGTTAAAAATAACTGTCAAGAGGCTGTCAATTGTCAAAATTCATTGACAATTGACGGTTATCTATCACGTGACAAGCCCTAAAACGATTTTTTTGAGCAAATACTTGAAATTTTGTTATATTACACCATTATTTGTACAATTTGGGCCTACATTTTGCACAATTTGAGCTACCCATTAATTTATTTAAAAGTGACCTTGACAGAAATGTCAATAATTGTGTCAAATAATGGCGGTTTTTTTCAAATGTTAACTTCAAAATTTTTATTCAAAAAAGGGGAGTGACCCAGATTTGGAGAAATAGGGACTGAGATCAACCTTTCATGGAGCTTAATAAAATTTACTTATAAAAAAAACATTTCAAAGATTGTAATAAAATGTTTGAGTTAAAAATAATTGTCAATTGTCAAAATTATTTGGCAATTTACAGTTAAGTATCACGTGACAATAGCTAAAACGATTTTTTAAACAATTATTTGGCAATTTTTGTACATTACACCATTTTTATACGAATTGGGCTTAAATATTGCACAATTTGATTAGAAGTTAATTATTTAAATTGTTTGTCCATTTAATTTGTTGACATGAAAATTCTTAATTGTTTTAAAATTTCAAAAAATCGGTTCAAAATCCGTGTTTTTATTTGTCACTAAAAAATTTATAGTCTAAAAAAAGTAGAAATCTTTAAATTGTGGTTTGTTTCCGAGAACGTTTATAGATGTCAGGACGATTCACATTGTCGGTTATTTCAGAAGAATAAACGAAACTTTGAATTTTCCCGAACCTAATACTGTGTTGTTACGATTTAAAAAAAAATGTGAAAAATACTCTTTTTCAATTCAATTTTTTTTATTCAACTTTAAATAATCGAAGTAACCAGTGTCTAAAAAATTATGTTGGCAATATTGACAAACGTAAACATAGAAAATTTAGCGAGTCTCATGTCTCATGTTTTCTATATTTGTATTATTCAATGTTGCCAACTTAAATTCAAAATCACAGGCCACTATGATCAGAAATTTAATTGAATGTTGTTAAAATAGAAGGAAATCACTTTAATTAAAATTAAAAATCAGAAATAAGAAATTAGGAGATGGATAATTTTTATTTAACAATTTAACAGTATTAGAAAATTATTACTAAGAGATGTTGGACAAGAATGCAACGATATGAATTGTCGTGGCACAAACGAGGAAAGATAATAACAGAACAATTATTTTTTTTAATTAACTTTACGGAGAGACAAATTTAATTTATATAATTATTTGGAAATAGAGACAAAATAATAAATAAAATTTTTAATCAAAATAACCTATGTCATAAAATTAAGTTGGCAATATTGACAAATATAAAGACAAAAAAAATTGGCATGTCTTATGTTTTTTGAGGTATTATGCAATGTTGCCAACTTAAATTTAAAATCACAGACCACTATGATCAGAAATTTTATTAAATATGTAAAAATAAAAAGAAATCAGTTTTAATTATTAAAAATTAGAAATAAAAAATTAAGTGCTTATTTTTTTAAATAATTATTAAGAAGTACATACAAGGAGCGCCAGAACTCGTGCCCTAGAGAAAAATGCCATATAAGGTAAAATACCAGCAACATGGAAAAAATGTTATTTTTTTTTATCTAAGTATGAAAATTTCGAAGTTATGACAGTTTAAATTGTGCACTTTGACTGTATTTATTTCTGTTGGAAAAATAATTTTCTAATTTTTTTGCTAGAGGCTATTAGAAGAGGAAACAAAAAAGCTGAATCCTACATTGTAACAAAATTTTTGTACTTTTATTAAATAATCGTAGAAAAATATATACAAGATCATCAGTATCGTTAAATAGACGTAAAAAATGTCAAATGTCAAAATTTTTTGACAGATAGAATTTTTCAAACATTTTTTTTATGTTTCTGGTATCTTATTTACTTGAAATTTTTCTCTGAGGCGCGAGTTCTGGCGCATTCTGTATTTAAAAATTATGTTTCAACGCTGTAGACCCTTGTCCTTGCCGTTGCATAAACAAGGAGCGACAATAACAGATCAATAATTGTCACTCTTTGATAATATTTGATTTTGAGAGCATATCCATCCACTGCTACTTGATTATTATCTAAATTATTATAAAAAGGTGTTAGACAAGGATGTAAAGATGTGATTGCCGTTGCGCAAAAAAGGATAGACAATAACAGAGCAATTTCGTGTATAGTGTTGATAATTTTCTTATTCTTTGAGCGAATAATTAGCCACTGCAACTTGATTATTATTGTTTTGTGTGAAAAAGTCTAGATTTGTGGCGGCCGTTGCGTTTTACTAAATCAAACCAAGCCCACTGCTACTTGATTTTTATCTAAATTATTATAAAAAGGTGTTAGACAAGGATGTAAAGATGCGATTGCCGTTGCGCAAAAAAGGACAGACAATAACAGACCAATTTCGTGTATAGTGTTGATAATTTTCTTATTGTTTAAGCGAATAATTAGCCACAGCAACTTGATTATTGTTGTTTTGCGTGAAAAAGTCGAGTATTGTGTCGGCCGTTGCGTTTTACTAAATCAAACCAAGCCCATTGGCCAGAAAATATGCAGTTGTTTTCAGTATTGAAGTGTTATGTAGCACGTGCTGAGAGCTCAATAATATGAATGAGTTGTGGTAAGACCGACCCTTTTCATGTCCGGCCACTCTATAATTTAAAATCAGAACCTGCGAGTTTTTATAGTGTACTTTGTGGTGTATAAGGTGTGCTAGATATATTTATTATGATTCACAACGCTATATAAGGATCCACAAATTATTGCTCACACTATATACGTGATCGTTTTTCCTCTGCGCTGTGTTTATTTATTTTTTTAGTATATTCAAACAAAAGCCAGCCAATTTGAGCAAATCATTGTAAATTGCAAAACGGTGGGATATTATCCTGATTATGGGAGAAGGGGGAGAGAAATTCAAGATCGCCTTTTACGGAAATGCTTAACAAAGGATATTGGAGAAAAAGCATCAATTAAAACGTAAGAATATACGGAATAAGGTAAGAGGTTGGGCTGCGCCCACCATATATCCCAACAACCAATAATAACAACAGGAATTGAGTTACGTCACGATTTGCTATATTTGTAACAAGCGCTGTTTTGTAAACAACGTGTAAACAATTACATTATGGACTGGATGCACACAACTGCAAATGCACCGATTTCGCATCAAAGTGGCCGGTGACCCGTTCAATGTTGCCAACCTAGTTTCAGACTTCACAAGTTTTCAAATAAATTTTTGATCGAAGTGTTCTATGACTTTGTCATATTCAAACGTCACACTTTTCTAGTCAATTGTCATTCATTTCCGACGAGCGGATGCTGGCATGGCCCAGGCCGGGCTAATAATTCAGTGTTGCCAACTTAATTTTTATTTTTCAAACAGTAACTTTACTAAGTTGATAATGTTTTTACTTCTTTTATCAGTTTTTTTGAACTAAAATTTGATTTCTCTACGTTGATGTTTTCTTCTCTTTATTTTTATGTTTTATTTTTTTTTATTTAGCAAAATTTCAAACTATTTTTTAAGTTATTATTTTTATCCTACTCTTTTTGATTAATAGTCTGTGACCTGTTTCAATGTTGCCAATTTAGTTTAGTAGGTAGTACTATGCTTTAAAATAAACTTCTGATCAAAGTGTTCTATGACTTTGTCATATTCAAACGTCACACTTTTATAGTCAAACACAATTTAATACATCAATAATTCAGTACTGTCAACTTAATTTTAAATTCACAGGTGGTGATTTAGGATCTTAGAAATTTTTTAATTAAAAGTAAACATTTCTACTTTTCTAAACATTTAGAAAAATAGCGAAAATTGTTATTTACAAAATTTCAGATTTTTAAAATTTTGACAAAATATTTGCAAATCAGATAGTGTGAGTTCTAGACAGGGGCGAAACGCAAAACCCCGGCGCCCTAATAATTTTTACTTTTTACACAACATTTTCGAATCCGACAAAATTTGATATCATTTTCTACTGTTCTAAAAACATATAAAAATAGCAAAAATTGTTGTTTACAAAATTTCGGGTTTTAAAAATTTTGACAAAATATTTGCGAATCAGACAGTGCGAGTTCTAGACTTTCTACACAACATTTTTAAATCCGACAAGATTTGATATCAGTTTCTAAAAAGATATAAAAACTACTGTTCTAAAGATATAAAAACTACTGTTCTAAAAAGATTTAAAAACAGCAAAAATTGGTTTTTACAAAATTTCAGGTTTTTAAAATTTTGACAAAACATTTGCCAATCAGATAGTGTGAGTTCTAGACGGAAGCGAGCGGCAATGCCGCGAGCCCCTTATAATTTTTATTTTCTACACAGCATTCTCGAATCCGACAAGATTTGATATCAGTTTCTTCTGTCCTAAAAAGATATAAAAATAGCAAAAATTGTTTCTTACAAAATTTCAGGTTTTTAAAATTTTGACAAAACATTTACGAATCAGCTAGTGTGAGTTCTAGACTAGGGCGAGCGGCAAAGCCGCGAGCTCCCTATGATTTCCTACTTTCCACATAACATTTTCGAATCCGACAACATTTAATATTAGTTTTTGGTTTCTACTTTTCTAAAAAAATATAAAAAAAGTTTTTATACAAAATTTCAGGTTTTTGAAACTTTGACAAAACATTTGCGAATCAAATAGTGTGAGTTCTAGACGGGGGCGAACGGCAAAGCCGCGAGCCCCCAATAATCTTTGACTTTCTACACAACATTTTTGAATCCGACAAGATTTGATATCAGTTTTTAGTTTCTACTTTTCTAAAAAGGTATAAAAATATCAAAATTGTTTTTTTACAAAATTTCAGGTTTTTAAAATTTTGACAAAACATTTGCGAATCAGATAGTGTGAGTTCTATAGTTTTTTACTTTCTACACACCGACAAGATTTAATATCAGTTTTTAGTTTCCACTTTTCTAAAAAGATCAGATAGTGTGAGTTCTAGACGGGGGGAGCGGCAAAGCCGCGAGCCCCCTATAATTTTTTACTTTCTACACAACGATTTTAAATCCGAGAAGATTTGATA